ATTGTAAGTTATTTTGTTATTAAATTTATATTAAAATTCATAGGTAGAAAATCGTGTATAAATTCACACTATTTATTTTCAAATACAATTTGTTGTGGTTTGTTGTTGTTAAAAGAAAGTCAAAAATAAATACATTATCCTATATTATGAAGAATAAAGATTTAGTTTTGGTTATTTTAAATTTAATTATTTGTTTTGTAAATACTTTAAATAATTTTTTAAATATGTTCTACATTATTTGGAAAAAACAAGGGTTACAAAATTTTGATATTAATTTAGTAATTTAATAACTAGTTTATTAAATTCAAATTAATAATTTAATAATTTGTACAATCTAAAACAAAGAGGTATTTAAAGGTGAGTTGGATCTTTTTGTATTCACTTTTTTTAAAAAAAGGCATATAATAGCCTATTAATTATTAAATTCGTTCATATTACTTTTATAAAAAAGTCTTTTTATTTGGTTATTTTATTTTTAATTCGAACAAATTTTGAATTTTGAAAACAGTCTATACAAAAACTTACTTTGATATATTTATAATATATTATATTATATAATACTAATATCCCTGAAAAGAATTATACATATTTATTATAATAAATTAAATACACAAAGTGTTATATTAATAATATAATACACAAAATACCACAATTTTGTTTGTAAAGACGCGTAAAAATACTTTGATACAGAAATGGGTGAATAAAAAATATAATTCACAGTCTATTCAATCCCTAATATTCCCGTTCACTTAAATTATTTTAAGTGTATTTTCAACATATATAAAGACCCATTTTTTTTCTCAAACCCAAAAATGCTCTAATTACTGAACCCCACTTCTCTTCTAAAACCCGTTTTTTTCCAAAGGAAAAATCGTAAAGAAAACGAAGGACTGTTTTGTCCCATACAAGACTTATATAAAGAGGAATATGAAAACTTATTAATTAAACACCAATGACCGATTCAAGCACTTCTGTTGCAGTAACAAATGAAACGTTCAACCCTGAACTTGTTGGATTTGTGTTAGTTGGAGTGTTATTATTAACACTGACATTGATGATAGTCATCCACTTATTCCCACGACTTCACTTCCTTTCGGAGTCGATCATCTCTCTAACTGTTGGTATTAGTATTGGGTTAGTCTGTCTAGTTCTCTACCACTTTGGCATTGACTTTATTTTTAATTCGCGGTCTTTTGCTCACATATTCCAGTCGATTTTCCTTCCCTGTATTATCTTCAACGCAGGCTTTACTATGAAAAAGCGGAACTTCTTTGCAAACATAGTCCCCATTCTTACCTATGCAATTGGTGGGTGTGTTCTCTCCTCTTTAATCATTGGATTTGGTATTTACGGATACACTTTCATCAATGTCAAATTCATAGGACTCGGCTCACAGAATCTGAGCATCAACCAAGCACTCCAATTTGGTACTTTACTCGGTGCTACTGACCCCGTCGCTACTCTCGCTCTCTTCTTGGAGTTAAATGTGGACCCCCTCTTATACTCCTTAGTCTTCGGTGAAAGTGTTTTGAATGATGCGGTCTCTATTGTGTTATATCACACGTTAGATAAGGATATGAGCACTTTTGGCTGGATGGATATGTTAAGTATCTGCGGCGAGTTCTTAATTAAAGCCTTAGGCTCCTGTGCTATTGGCTTGTTCATCTCGTACATCAGCGCGTTCTTGTTCAACAAGATGAAGACGCTCAATATCTCAGCGACACTGAATGTGATCTTAATAGTGGGGACTGCGTTCTTCGGGTACTTCTTGTCTGAGATTTTGGAGCTGTCTGGCATCTTGACGATATTTGTGACGGGAGCGGTGATGTCTCACCATCATTGGTACTCTGTTCCAGAGAACCAAAGACACACCGTTTACAATTCAGTTGGTACTTTGGCATTCATTAGTGATACTATGACATTCATATGTGTTGGCATTACTCTCTCGAATCCAAAGAACTTGACTCTAGAATGCTGGAACCCCCTCTTCATCGTCTATGTGTTACTCCTTTGCTTCATCTCAAGAGCTTTCAACATCTTCCCTATCACTTTCATTATGAACTGTAGAAAGAACGCCCCGCACATCTCTTGGAAACATCAGCTGATGCTCTGGTATGCCGGGCTGAGAGGCGCAATTGCAATTTTGTTGTCGTTGACGATGGGAAGTGTGTTGGTCATCAACACGACATATTCCATTGTCCTCTTCACTAACGTCCTCATTGGAATGACTACCCCACCCCTTCTTAAGTTGTTCAAAATTCAAATGGGCGGCAGTGAACCACTCAATATCAGAGAGGCTGACGCTCTTGAAGTGTTGGACTTGGACGATCCACAATCAAATAATAGCAATAGAGCATTGAAGAAGATGTTCATCATGTTCGATGAAGGGTTCATGAAGAAGTGGTTTGGTGGACAAACCAGGCAAGAGAAGTTTGTTACTCTTTTACTTTATAAATAACAATGTATAGTAATTTACTATACTATTAATAAATAATAGTAATTTACTATAATTGCTTAGATAAAAATAAAACTCATTGAAAACTTCATTGTGTTGAAATGAGTTTTATTTCTGTTTAAAACTCAGTGAACTCATGTGATAGAGAACTCGCGACTATTGACCCGTACCTGACTCAAGACGACGTACAAACAAACAGAGAAAAAGTCGACCACATGTTCAATACGCCACAACCAAAGGAAAATGAAAGCACTGAAATTCCAATGACTACAGAAGCCGTAGAACAAAATGAAGGAGAATTGGGACCGAAGTCAAGCGAAGAAAACACAAGAGATCCACTCATAAACATCGACACACCTCCTCAACCGAAAACAGATGTGCCTAAAATGCTCGAATGATTGTCACTATCAACTGCTGTCCATTTGATTTTTACAATTGATTTCGTTATTACAAATTTTGGTCTTGCTTTCAGGCGTACTTTACGGAAAATACCTTTGATATGATAATTAAAATGTCTAAGATTTTTTTGAAATGGACATATTACAGTTCTATTGAATGATATATACCGATTAGTACGGTCTCAATGAATATCAATACATCGTTTTCTTTTGAAGTCCATTGCCATTGCTCTCAAATACAACAATTTGATTTCTTGATATTCATTTATAGAGATTTGAATCACCCAAATGTTCTTCTCCAAAGAAACCATAAAGAATTAATAGTGAACTAATAGTTACTAGTAAACTCCGAGTCACTGAAATGAGGTAGGAAAGCGTCAAAAGAGAAGGCAAAGAACTTCTTTGTCTTCGCGTCAGTGTTTTAGAAAACATTTGTTGAGTGCATTGAAAGAAACTGAATGAAAGAAGTACAAGTAGATTTACAACCCAGCGAGTTTTTTGAGCTTTTCGACTCTTCTGATTTTAATAGCGTTTTGCATCGCCTCCTGTGAAGTCGATGCGACGACCAAATTACTGATCACGACGATTGAATCTCGACGCCCAAAAATCTTTCGCATTTTATCGATTCTGACGTGGTCGTATCGATTGCCACTCCGACGGACTTTACGAAGGAAACAGGGGTCGGGGCGTTCCCCTGTTTTCTGTTTAATGGTATCACTCTTGAGCACAAGACTTCCATTTGCTTTTGCTTGTTCTGATGTTTCCGAGATAAGGAAGGGCGATATCTTCTCGATCGAATTTCGGCGCCCCGTCAAGCGCGTCAGTTTGTCCTTTTTCTTGTCAGTCATTTGGAGATGAATGATCCAGTCTTCTGTGTCACGTAAAGTCTTTGTGTCGTTACGCAGAGTGAAGTCGGCGTCGTCGATTGGAAACACTATATACTCCGGACTGACGGGATTTGCTAAAGTCGACGACGAGTCGTTCTCCCAACACTGGTGCGAGTAATTTTCTTTCTCAGTGTTTTGGGTCGGACATTCAAATTTGATGTATGACGGAATCGAGTCGGACGAGAGAAAACTCTGACTTGTGCTCATCGTGCTCATCTGATTTATTTGATGCTTTTGGATAGATTTTTGTAGAGAAAAGCACTACTCGAATATAAAAAAGTAGTTTACTTTTATTATACTTTTATTGTAATTTTATTATAATTTTATTATACTTTTATTATAATTTGTATGTTTAACTATGAACGGAGAATTGAGGCTCTCTAATGTCCCACTTTTCTTTGTGGTTTTTGACGCAAACCTTTTTGTATCGATTTCAGTAGGGTGTCAGTTACCTCTGATTTTGCCGCAGTAATCTGTTGTTGTGATTTAACTTCAATTCAAGCCGCAAGTTTAAATAGAAAAACACCGCATATTGCAGTGTTTTATCCAAATCGATTATTTCGTCGTTGTGTGCCTTGCGTGTCAACACATTAATAGTTCAATTATAATTATTTTATAGCTTCAAACCACCTCGTCGTTAAAATATTGCATTTTTATTTCGCATTTTTCTTTTATATTTTTTTAAAGTGTTTTTGCTAATCATTTCCTGTTTATTTACGTTTTTTTGTAGTAATATAAGAATAACTAGCTTTCTTTATGTTCGAGGAAAAAAATCGAATTTTTGGCAGAAATAGCTTCTTATATTTGTTTCCTCAAGATCTGTATTTTTTTCTTTTGGTAAATACGGAAACACTCGTTTAACCACAAATCGTTTTGATTGACTTTTTCATCAAACCCTTGCCCATCTTGTACTATACAAAACATATTTTATAACTATTTTTATTATAAAGTATAATACAATTTATTTAAATAAAACTGCCTTCATAATTCAAATTCATAATGAACATCTTTGTATTGTTCTAATAATATATTTTTTAATAATTAATTTTTAAAAATAATAATTACTCTCTTCTATAAGTTATGATTTTTTTATAGTACACTTATTCTATGATTTTTATTATTGTGTTGATAATGTTATAAATCTGTATTATACTGTAATGGTATAAATATTATAAAATAAAAACTATTGAAACCAATGAACTCAAAATCATAGATTAAAGGAAATATTTTAAGTTATTAGACGATGTTGTGCTTCCCTCGCCATACAAACTATTCCAACTCCTGAGTTCTGTCAGTGAGCTTGAATCCTTCGAAACGGATGGGTTGACTTTTTTCGCTTCTTCCAAGAAGTCTTCCGTAGTGATTGGTCTTAAAATAGGGTTTGGGTCTCTCTTCTTCCCCTTTTCACTCTTCAGATATTCTTTAATCGGTCGCATCGCCACGACTTGTCCGAGTGCAAACAAATCGCTTCCCGAAAACCCTTCCGTCTGTTGTGCGATCATCGTGTAATTCAAATTAGGATCGACGTCTTCCCTTCTCAGTATCTTCTTTAATATAGTCACTCGATTCTGTTCATTTGGTAAGTCCACTAATATCCTTCGACTCAATCGACGTAAGACCGCATCATCCAAATCAAACGGCCGATTCGTGGCAGCCATTATAATAACGCGTTCCATATCTTTCGACTTAATCCCATCCCACAACGACATAAACTCGTTCTTCATTTTACGTACCGCCTCATGTTCACTGCTCGACCGCTTTCCTAAGAGCGCATCAACTTCATCGACAAATATAACACACGGCGATAATTTCGACGCAAGTGTAAAAAGGGCTTTGACATACTTCTCGGCTTCACCAAACCACTTCGACCCCAATGAGGACATCGACACATTAATGAAATTCGACTTACTCTCCGTCGCTACGGCTTTCGCTAACATAGTCTTCCCCGTCCCAGGAGGACCAAAGAGTAAAACCCCTTTCGCCCCTTGCGTCAACTTCGAGAAGAACAACTCCGGGCGCACTAAAGGAAGGGTGATCGTTTCATTCAACACTTTTTTGACATCATCAAGTGCTCCAATGTCATCAAACGACACATTGATGTCGTCAGACTTGATCACATCACTCAGAAGCTTCTTTTCAAATTCATTGTCCGTCTCCATCTCTTCAACATCTACACTTTTCTTCTCTTTCACAACTTCAAGACCAAACCCTATCTGCTCTTTCGTCAATTCCTTCGGGTCCCGCACTTCTTTCCGTGCTTTTTGTATTGCTATTCCTATCGCTCTCTCTATTTGATCATTACTATACACTTCATACATCTCTTCTTCAGGATACTGCGCAATGTGGACACCAAACTCTTCACTGTGCTTCGCTAACAACGCTTTGTTCTTCGCAAGCTTCTCATTCTTCGCATCTTCGCCTACTAACGATTTCCACTTACTCCCAAACTCCCCACTCGGCTCACTGAATTTGATGACATTCCCAAATAACTTGGAAATGACACTCAAGTCTTTCTGTTGGTCTTTGGACGCTTTGGAAAAGGTGATCGTCTCAAATCGAATCTCTTTCATCCCACCTAACATACACAAAGACTGATCTATTTGTTGCGAAGCATGCGACTTCGATGGGGGCGGCGGTGTTACCATTGTTCCTATGATCACCGACTGTCTGTCCGAAAATTTGAACGACCGGAGATACGCTTTGAAGTCCGTTTGTAACTGCTGATTGTCATTTAACCCACTTATATCAGTGATAAGAAGTATCATCGGGCCATAGCTGTCCATCAACTCGTCGAGTCGTCCTATCACTCGTTGGTCCCCATCAGGGATCTCCTCATCGATATTCCCAAGGTATTCAATTTCAACAAAACTCGCGACAAATTTGTTTTTGAAGTCGAAGTTGACTGCGGCGTGGGAGTCTTTCACAAAGAGGACGATCCCATGTGTGCCCAACTCAATTTCATCATTGAAGTCCCGCTGCATCTTCCCTTTCCCTATAAACTGAACTAATTGCCGCACTCGAAACTCCTTTCTTTCTTGTGACTTCGCGTCTACCGTCTGGCCCAGTTTGTCATATTTCAACTCGACTAATGGAAGGTCATACTTATCCGCAAGACCTCTCACAACTCGACTCAAGTGTTTCATTCCGTTCTTCGGAATAGTCAAAAGTACTGTTCTGTATAAGCTAATAATGTCTTTTGTGTACTTCATAAGCTTCGGATGTTCAAATGGAATCTCACAGGTGTAGTTCAGCGCCTCTTTCTCACAAGGCTTAAGAAACTGAAACGCCTCTTCGTTGCGTTCTTTCCGTTCTTTCTGTTTTTCTTCACTCTCCGAGGAGATCTTATTCCTTCCAAACTTATTAAATATAGCTACTAACCCTTCTTTATGTGGAGTCTTCTTCAAAGCCGTCTCACTCATCGTGAAATTGGGACGTCCTACCTTCTGTTCTTCTCTGTATGGTAAGATGGCCTTGTTATTCTTCAAGTCTTCAATCACTTTCTGCACGGGTGTGTCTAAAAAGAACAACGTGAAGATGTAGACCTTTGTGAAATAAAACCCAATCTCCGTCTTATTTTCTAAGATCACCTTCTCGCCCTTTCGAACTGTTTTCTGATTCACGTACACAAACCCTGTCGTTGAATTAATCTCTAAAGTCGCTTCTCCCGGCTTTTTGTAGGTGATCGATATCTCCACGCATATCCCGTCCAGCGCAAAATTCGTCCCATTCGGACCAATCAAGAACTTTTGTCCATATAACTCGATCCCGTCATACATCTTATCGTAAGGCCGTAAAGTCCCCCAATGGATCATTTTGTTTTGATCCGGAATCGGTATGGGCCGCTTCGGTGTCGTGTTTTCAGGGATTGGGTACCGTTCATAATAAGGGTCGGCGTTCTCCTCATCCTCGTCTTCATCCTCGTCGTCATATTCATCTTCGTTCTCAGAGTGTTCCGATGAAGAGGAAGTGGAATTGCTATCGTCGACGTTGTTATGTGACATCTCTTTTATTAGTTTCAGTCATACCTTTATCTATCACTTTTATTAATTTTTCCGTCTTGTTTTTCTCATCAACAGCCTTCTTTTTTATATCCCCAACATTTTCTCTCTTTTTCCTCTTTTTTTTGCACTACCTTCGTCTTCTTCCAAAAGTTCAAAACAGTTCACCTCCTTCTTTCGTGGCAGTCTTTTTTATTGTTTAATTCTGTTTTGAAGTGAACTATTTCTCATTTTAATTTCTTTCGTTTTCTGTCATTTGTTGATTTTTTTTGGTCTTTTTTGAAACAATCAAAATTATCAGCTGGAAATCCACCGGTTGTCTGTCTGTATGTCCATTACCATACTCTAAATACTATATAGTAATACGCTAATAAAATATAGGAATAGTTTTATACTAATTATTCTAATACATTTATAAGAAAATAATCTATAAACAATACATCAATTGAAGTAATTTGGTTCGTCGGGTTGAAGTTTCATTGAACGCAACAAAAACAGGAGCTCATCAAGTAACCCTTCTTTATTCAAAAAAACGTCTGCCTCTTGTTTCTCAAGTTCATTTGCTTCAATCACTTTCCCGGGATTTAATTGTTTGAGCAAACAGATGCAATACTCTTCATCATTCATTTTATAGACAATTACTTTCTCTGTTATTCTTAGTTACTATTGACTTTTACTTTCAAACTAATTTAAAACTGTTTTTAACTTGTTTTTTAACAACACAAATTTGTTATAAATTGCCCATAATTAATTTGGACGATGATGTGGAGTTGTAAAAATTCTCATTGATTTGATGTTTCTTATTTATTCCTTATTTTGACCAATTGGTTTGAATTACATTTTATATCGGACGTTTGTTAGTTTTATTTAGTACTTTATTATCTACTACATTTAAAATTTATTTTTGTAAATTGATAATTGTTGTAGTATTATATAATTATTATATTTAATACATTTTTAATTTGTTAATTATTAAAAATAAAATCGTAAAAATGGTATTTTTTTGTATTATATATAATAGTAATAAAGTTATATAAATAATAATACAATTGAATTACAATACAAAAAATTAAATCAATTAAAAACTAAAAATAATAGTAGAGTTAATAAATTAAAATTATGATACAAAAATGTCATTCCAAATAGTTATAAATTAAAACCATTAAAAATTAATATCATTTAGTTATTACATTTTATCATACAATATTAATACATATTATTAAAAATCTTATTTAAAAACAACTCAGAACTCACTAATTTCAAAATGCCTCTTATTTTTTATCTCATTTCATTGACATCTTCTCAATTTCCATTTCTCAATTACGACATTCAGTTTGAGGAAAAATGTTATACGGTTTGTTATACATATTTATCTAGTTTCTCGTAACTAGTAAATTATTGTATTTATATTGTATTAGAACAAATTTATCTCAAGCTACCAACGGGAGAGTTATACAACGTCGATTACAACGGGAAGACTTATCACTGTTCCATTCCCATTCACAAAAACACAACCATATCCAATGAAGACCAATTTGAAGCGCTTCGCCATCCAACGTGTTATGCATATGATGATACATACTTCAGATATGTTCTCTGTCCTGGTCGTAATGTGACACAGCAGCGCATAATTTCTAATACAAAAGTTGGCGAGATCGTTTTAGGTTCTTCCGTGCAGTCGGTCAAGTATGGGCATAACTACATCAAAGAGATATACACTGATGGAAACCTCTGTTTAGGTCTCGGGCGTCGTTCCATAGAAGTAAAATACTTTTGTTCAGAAAAGACTCTCTCTCCTGTATTTGGTGGGGTCGAAGAGACAGAGCCATGCAAGTACACTCTTCAATGGCAAATCCCTCACTTCTGCAATCATCAAGTTTTCGACGAATTTAACACGGAAAACAAGGTTCGGTGCTGCAAGAGTGTTATCAAAGAAGACTCTATGCGTGCTATGACAAAGGTTCCTACAGACCTCCTCCACACAAGCAAAGGGTCTTAAGAAGATACACCACTCTCGTTCAGACACGTGGCATTCTATTTGTGGAACTATTTTATTATAATTCTTATATTATTATTTATAGTTTCAAACACCATTCAATTGAAATTGAAGTTGAGGAAGTTGAGTTTCTTGTTGACCAACAAGGCGACGGATTCCTCTCCTGATTGGAATACCATGACATCGTCAGACTGCTTGAATTTGAGAAATGCGATTCTTTCTTTGTCAAAGCAGTTGTGTATTTCCATCACCTTTCGGAAGTCAGAAAAGACCAAAAAGAGAGTCTTATTGATCCAACACATCTGTGCGTCCCGCATTGAAGCGAGTGTCTTCACGATGAATCTATTCTCCGTGTCGAAGAGTATAAGTCTACCAAAGTTATCAGACAGTAACACGTATTTATCGGAGAATGGGTTATAACAGAGGTCTTCTATGTTTCTTGAGTCCGGTATCGCAGATGTGAATGTCGACATCTCTTCGTTACTAACGTCTTTAAAGACGACGGGGTATCCTTTTCCATATACTGCCATCTCCATTCTTTCATTCACTTTTCTCCCAAGGACTCGGTCGATATCATTCTGCTTGAAGCAATTCGTCGACTTCAAAAATTGGAGTGCAACGACTTCATGACAAAATTTGAACTCTTTGTAATGGAGGTCCGTCTTTTTATATACGGCTTCTGTGATAGAGGTCAACGAAGTCGTTAAGATGGTCTTTGGAGTTGCTTGAATGAAGACGTCGTCGTTTAATATATAAATTTTCCCGTTGCCGTCGACAGAGTCTGCTCGAAGACTGTATGTGATGAACCCATTCACAACTAGAATCTTCCCCGGAAGTAATTTGAGTATAAAGATATCTCCATTGAAACAGAAAATCGAGTGAAACTGTGACTTACAATTACACTCCATTTTACAGAAGAGTTCCGTGTGTGCCAAAGGACCGTCATGGAGTTCCGAGTAGTCACACGTCTTCGACACCGTTTGTGGGCCATCGGTGGTGATTTGGCTTTGTACTCGGTACACTTCATGGGGCTCAGAATCAAACAGTAAATACAACTCGTTATCAAATGAACACGACGCTATTATTTTATGTTCATTGGCACACCTGAGCGTCAATGTTGTCTTACACACTCGCATCGTCATTTCTATTTTTCGAGTATGACTAATTTTAAAGTTCACTTCGACGCAACAGAGCAAACTATATTATATAGTTATTTTACTATACCGTTTAATAAAAAACAAAATAAGAGTATAAGTACACATTTACGTTATGACAATACGAAGTCACTTCCCCCGCTTGACATACTCAACCATAGCAGTGATCTCATCTGTGTGTTAGTCGATACTTTGAGAATTGACATTACACTTATTTATAGTTATACTATTATATTAATAGTATTGTAATTAATAAACATATAATAATAATATTAATACATATAATAATAAATTTATTAATTATTTATCGAAATAGAGTCTGAGATAGAAAATAACAAACCGACATCAAGGGAATAGAACTGGAGTTTATTAGAACTATCCTGTATCGCGAAAATGACGTTGTTGACCTTCGTGACGATGCACTTCGCTGGTTTAAAGCTTACGATTTTCCTTGTTGACAACGTTCGAGCCTTTCTCTTATTGTCATCACTGAACGTAATTTTGTCCTTTGAAATGATCATTGCTTTCTGTTTTGGTGGGTCTGATATTAAGAAGAGATTATACATCTTCATTTCCTTAATATTCTTCTGTAAAAAGTCCGACTTAGTGTTCTTCTTCCGGTCTTCCATCAGCAAGTTGACTAGTATTGAGTCCCCTTCTCTATATAGTTTATTTATAGTAAATTAATTATTCAATTAGAGTATAGAGAACATCAATGGAGAACACAAAAACAAACATCCTTTCTGGTCTAAGAGACAGTAGTTATCCCACTCGACGTCTTTCATTGTTGCTTGATAAGGCAATAAAGGATAGTTCTGATCGACTTCGCCGTTTGTTAGTGAATAAAAGAGGAAACAGGTTCCTTCGAGTTTCTCTGTTTTGCGAAGTAAGTTAGATGCCTCGTCGATGAACTCTCCGACCGTCTTCTGTGTGCTAAACTCAACAAGAAACTTTCGCAGATTCCACCACACGTTGAAGACCTTTCCTATCGACTTCTTTCGTGGGGTGTCATGGCGTATCAGTGTCGTAGATTTACTCAAATATAACATCCCCTTTTCAGGCTCTCGACTCAAGTCTCGCGGACTAATTAACAACGTTCTCTCCTTATAGATAGGTCTCCCATTTCGTGGAGACCTTGGGATCTCTTCCAAAGGGGGTGCCTTTATTTCAGACCCAAGTACCTTCTTAAGTTTAAGAGTCTTAGAGAACTTCGAAGAGAGCATAAAAGTCTTCCCTACACTACTAAGCTTTTCGTCGAGGTCGGGAACCTTTGCGTCTTTACTTACGACCCCTTCCGTGTTACACACTTTTAGTATATAGTCTGACGTGTCAAGACTTAAGACATCATTCCCATTCAACCCCAATGTCTTGTTTCTCTCCGAAACGACTGTTCTAATGAACTCTGCGATATCGACGTCTTCGTTAATTCGTATCACCACCGACATCTTCTCAAGGCCAGGAACGTCGAAGAATATTTTATAGATCGAGTCAAACAACGTCTTTTTCTCCGTTAATACCTCTTGCTTCCCACACGTTAAGTCGTTCTTATATTTCGCGGAGTCTTGCATAAGAAAGTGTAAGGAGCCCATATCTATCACTAACGTCTCCGCTTCGCACACGGGGAAGTCCTCATCTTCAACGCCGTTTTCGTCTGCTATAGAAAGGGCGTAAGTACTTGCCCTTTCTCTTAAGAGCTTCTGGTCTGTGTTATTCAGAATTGATTGATTCACCTTTTGGATGACTGTTTGTATCACATTCTTAACAGTAGATGATGGGGGGCAACTCACCGCGTACTTTTCAATAGGAAATGGGGGTTTGAAGTGGATCGTGTATGTTGCAAATTGGATTGTAGAGCGGAGCTTAGTGATGCGTGGTATTTTTTTCACTACAAAGAGGGCGTCGACTTGGTCGGGGGTGAGGACTTTGAACTCCTTTTTTGTTGTTTGATTAATTTGTGGTTGTTCGAATATGATTTCTTTCTCAAATTCAATTGGGTTGAATGGGTATTTAATGGGTCGAAAAGTCATTTCATCAAGGGGAAAGAGTTGGTCGATACTCCCTCGTAAGTCGACGCGTTGAGTAACTTTACTGAACTCGTCTACTAGTGTGTTCATAGTAATTTAACAGTTTCATTTTTAGTATAGTATATTTATAATATATTTATAATACATTACTAATACATGGTAGTATTAATATCCAACCCATTCGAAATAAATTCACAAACGAATTGATAATTTCGATTGAAATATTTTTTTTTCTGCGACTTCTGTTTGAAGTCGCGAAGTGGGCGTTTCAAAACTGTTTTGTTACTCAAAGCAATTTTTGTCGTCTTTTTCAGACTTTTACTCGTCACATGCCATCACATTTGTTTTCATTGATTTATTTGCCCCGTCTTTCAAATCATAACCAACCCTAAATTATTATTTTTTTTGATTGTTTGTTCAGACCGTTAACTTTTTTTCGATTTTGTGGGATATTTTTTGTTCTACAAATTTTATTCTATTCGTTACTATTTTTTTACTATATTTTATTAGTTCTTGAAATATTATACTTTAAAAAGATTTTTTTATTTTTATTGTTCTCTATAATTTCTATAAAAAAAATTGGAAGAACCAATAGCCCAAAAGTGCAGTAATTGTTAAGTATTTCCATGACAATTTTTATTAGAGTGGAAATACGTTAATTTGCTCTTTTTTTCTTCAAAAATCAAATTTGGTTCTGATAAAAACAAACTATATACTTTTAATATATATCATAACTATATAGTTTTACGACATTAAACTATATCTTATTAATAAAAAAACCAAAACTCAAGTAAAAAGAACACGCAATAACGATCAATGAAAAGCAACGTACATCACACTTACTTTTCATTATTCTTTTCATCCAAAATGAGCTGTAATTCCTTACAGAGTGTGTAGTCTTTAGTTGGGTGCCCGAGTGATGACAACTTGACGAGTTGTTGGAATCTATTTGAGTAACCGTCCATACAGAAGTACCCATTTCCTAAGTAACAGAAGTGTGTATTAATGATTTGTTCTCTCACCATCTTCCCAAGTTGATCCCCAGTGACGATCATATTATTCATTAATGGCCCTTCAATCACCATTCCACCCTTTCGGAAGACATTCACAGAGTACGTCCCACACATACTTGGCTTGATGACGATCACAACTTCCGCTTGTTTCCCAAGGAGTGATGGGTGATATGGTTTAATGCCTTCGTCCCACACTATATGTACCAAAGATGACATCTCCGCCATCGTCTTCGTCTCGACTGTTTGCATCTTATACACTTCTTCAAACACAAATTCGTTCTGTGAGTCCGCGTAATACAAAAGTTCATTATCTGGGATCTTCTGACATAAAACAGGGTCACACGCTATGGAAGAGGCATCCACATACCACCCCAAGCTTCGCATAAATTGCTTGTACTCACAAGACACGTCACTTCGCGCTTGGACCTTCTCAAAATCAAAGTCCTCTTCTCCCACATATATTATCGTGCTCTTGAAAAAGACTCTCCCACTCAATCGGTCGAGTTTTGTGAGCTCATTTAAGAAGGATGGGGTCTTCTCGATAGGAACTAATAACTTGTCGTTCATGGAATACAACGACAAGATGTTCTGTAAGTACTCCATCAACTCATTTCGGACACTATCACTCAAGTCAAGTTGCCGGACGGGGATGTCTACCACATCTATCGCTTTACTCACACCCGTGTCACTCTCCGTTGAGAGTTTCCCCATCACCTCCTCCACCTTATTAATGTATTGGTAGTACTCATCGACTTTCATGACATCTTCTGGGAATTCGCACATCATCAAACTCGCGTCGTCCTTACAGACGTCGTCGATTAATTGACTCAACAAGTTGGTGTCTGTGTATGTCACTGGTTTTGGTATTCCCGTCTCTTTGTTGTTCTTAGCCCATGGGATCTGTGCTATTGGCTTGAAGTCGTCTTTAATGTCTGGTATTCCCACGTCCGTCAGTGTCTGCATTGGAGAGACTTCAAATTCGTACATCCCATACATATTTCGTATAAAGACTCTTGTGTGTGAACTTTGGGATGGTAACACTGAAATGATCGACTCTCCATAAGCAAAGTACTTTGCTTTCTCTTGGTCCGGTATATTCGCTTCGGAACATTTGAACATCCCATGCTCTGTTGGATCTCCAAAGACGACTTGTGAGAGGAGAGCAACAAATCTCTGAGCAGAGATGTGTGGGGGGACACAAGTGGATGGTCTGTCCGCATTAGCTGGGGGTTCTTCTGTGTTAAGAACCATCTGGATGACTTGGAAGAGGCGATGAGTTGTCTCGTCGATCAAGTGGACGGAGAATAAGTTCTTTCCATAGCTCAGTAACCAACGAGAGAGGACATCGAAGATGAATGAGACGCAATCCACTGTAATAGGACAAGTCAAGATGATATTACAGAGTGCGTCTACAATATAGTTCACGACATTCTCAGGTATCAATTTCGCATTGACAGCCAAATATGAAACGATTTGAAGGGAAGTGGTGTAGATGAGGTAGCATGGACTCCTCACTCCTTCAAAGAAGATATCCAAGAAGATTCTAAAGTCGACATCTGCCTTCATTTCAAGTGCAATTAAGTACAAATTGGCAAAGCACCAATATAAGATGCATTGCGTCTGTGGCTGTGACATGATTCTTAAAGCCCCAATAATGATGTTAATGAGGGTCTGCAAGTAGTTTTGAGCGAGTGGCAAAGATGCAGCTTTGAAGACTTCGAGTAGATTGGGGTAGTTGTACTCTATCATCAATAAAGATGAGATCAAGGAACAACACTTCACTTGGTCTTCTAATGTAGCGCTTCCGACCGTCAGTCTTGAGAGTGATTGAATCACTGAAGGCAACGCCGCTATGTTTTTGTTTTCAGGATGGGAGAAGATGTTGTAAGCACTTGAGATGAAGGCCCATTGCACGTCGATTGTTTGTAAATGAATACTTTGGACTAAAGATGTGAAGATGTCGTAGACTATATCGTCATACCTTGGGAAGGCTCTTGACGCTATTCTAGAGACTGCTTTGAAGCAGAGACACCTCGATGCTTCTGTTACCATTGACTGTGGCTTTACTATAATTTCAACGAGAATAGGGAAGAAGAGTTCTTGAATTGGTAAGAAGAGTCCATTAGTGAATTGGAAGGTGTTATCTCGAGGCGTTGAAATTTGCTCTGCTGTTATCGTCGAAGTCGCCAAAGGCACTTGTGCTGTCTTTCTTGAATTTTTCCAATTAGTCGGTTGGACGTTCCACTGACTTTGTCGCATCGCTGGCTTTGGCGCAGATGTGTCTTCAGTCACTTCTAACGTGGAGACTTCCTCTGCAAATGAAAGTAACTTGACCAACTCGCAGAGGATTTGAATGTTCTTTGTGACAGTTTCGACATTCCCAACTTGCAGTGGGTGGTCCAAAAATTTGAATATTAAGAGCCACATCTCTCGTATTCTTTTAACATCCCACACTGTCTTAATTGCCTCAAGTTTAGGTTCTGTGTGTGGGGTGTCGTACTTCTCTTCGACTTTCAAGTTAGTGATATACTCGCTCATCTCTATTGGGAGTTTAATAGAGAAGATAGAGGGGTGGTATATCTTCTGACACAGCGCGACGGTCAAATGTTCCAATTTGTTTTGAATGACTGTCAGAACATCGACATCAAAATACGGTCGCAATTTCTCGAGTAAATCGAGCCAGTCACCTTCATATTGCATCCATAGCAAATGTAATATAAATAAGGTGTTCAGCAATTCCTTCTTATAAGGTACGTAATTTTCATTCTTCACATTTTGTAAGAAATTTATTGAGCACGTCGTGACGGTCGACAATATAGTGCTCTTCAGGGAAGGAGTCAGGTCTTTCTCCATCAACGCAAATTTGTCGTAAAATCCTATAATAAGTTCCATCAGCGATTTCGTCGCTTCATTCGTCAAATTTGCACTTAAGAACTTTTGCGAGAACCAAAGCCCCGGCGTTTCGATAATTTTGAATTGAATTGTCGTCAGCCGCTCCTTTAAAATGGTCTGCAGATTCGACTGACCAACAAAGAAGAAGTCTTTGTACATCACAAGGAACGATTCGATCATTTCCTTGTCGTTCGGTTTAAAGACGGAAGTCATTTCCGTGTAAAAGTGGACTAAAATAGCTAGAAAACGGTCGTCCAAGACCAACATTCTAGAAAACGGCCCTTTAGCTGCATTCATCACTTCTTCGCCCAACTTGTGATACAATCGCGTTGGGACGTCATTTGTGTTAAAGTGGTGTTGGACGTTCAATGTGCTGAGTGTAGGGATTTTCTGATAATTAGGAATGACGCAACAGATGAGTTGGTGGAAGAGTGGGGAGTACAACTTGAAGTTCTCTTGCGACAAGAAGAGTTCTTTAAAGAAAATTTCGATGAGTGTGATGGAGAAGTTCTCTTGTGCCTTCAAATCGAGTCCTTCCGAGGGGCAGTAGACATTCGAGTTTGAATTGATCGTGGGAACTTGATTCTCTGATATTTGGGGCTCTTGTTCCGGTGTTAAAAACGATCGCAGATTGAAACTTGGTAAGAAGAATTTGCCGTACATATCGCCAATGTTATTTTGGATTTTCATTAAGTCCAACAAACACTTGAAGACGTTTTTCCGGACTTCGACGTTGGAGTCTTTACATAAAAAGTTACTTAAAATAGGAGCTATTAAATTAGTATTTTTTAACTTTATCAAATTTACTACTAATATACTATAAAAATACTAATAATATAATATAGTACAAAGTATAATTGTATTATAGTTTTTAATAGTATACCAACAAACATAATTGGGAGATGTCGTTCACCGTTAAATAAGAAGCAGAAAATTTAACGACACTTAACATGACCTCGATCTCTTGAACACTTAAACTATGACCCCCCTTTTTCAATAAATTGTCAATAGAGTTGGTTATCTCACCTAAACACCGTTTGAGAGCATCAGTGTTTGACGAAAAATAAGACGACGGGACTACTGTTTGACCTAATGACATCATTGAAAGTAACGACTTGACTGCTATTGTCACGTCTTTTCCAGTGAAAGTCTGTTGGTATTTCTTCAGCGCTTTGGGGTCTGTCTTCACTTCTGTCACCGGTTGAAACGGAGTGGACATTTTGACTTGCTTCTTGCTCATTTTTTCTAACTATTCTAAGTTCCAGTTCGCTAAGATTATTTGGACTGATTTCTTTATAGAGGAAGATGTTCCCGAAATATTGCATTGACGACCTTAATAAATTGTTGAACATTCTCAATGCATCTAGAAATTATGTATTTTGGTTTTCTGTTTGATGGAAAACTATAAACTATATTTTTTTCAGTTTCAGGTTCTTTTCTTTCAGAAATAGTATCTATTCATAGTCACTGTTCTTCTTCTTTTTTACTATTCATTCACGTCGATATTTTTATAAGAATGTGGATAGAGTGTGGGGTGTTGAAACTCCAAGTATAAAGGACTTGATTTGCTTGTTTTTTAAGAAGACAAATGCCGAGATATTTTTGTTTAGTAAAAAGTTCCTGTTTGCAATGGAAACATTTTAATGTGTGTTTTTTTAATTTATTTTATTATAATTCTTATTTGAATTAATAAGTTAAATGCATTTGTAAATAGAAAATGAAAAATTGGTAATTTTTTCGAGAAGAAAAACTAATTCAGTGATTTGGTAAAAAATATTGAAACATTGAATTATTGTAATTAGGGGCTTTTTATTAAATTTGAATCACTTTGAAACGAGTAAAAAAGTGCGCAAGAAATTTTTGTATGAAAATAAGTGGAATAAACAATAAAAAAACGACAAGTAAACGATGATAAGTTAGTGATACGGCGTATACAATGGTTTAACTGTTATTTTAGTCAATATTCATCAAGTAAAATAGTAAATAAAGAGTGTATATATTCTTTTTATGGCAACTTATTTTTTCATAATAATGAAATGTGTTTTAATTTAATGAGCGATAATTCAACAGATAACTTAAACAATTAAAAATGTTTGAATATAACAATAACACATTCGAATTAAAGTGTTATTGTTATTTATATTAATAGTGCAACTAAAATGAGGTATTTAATAACAATCAAATTAATAATAAGTACATATTGAAATATTAATACCAACATTTATTTTGTTCATATTTTCCAATTGTTTAAATTGTTCAATTTAAACATCATGGTAGTCTTTCATCACCTTTATTAAATAAAATTTAATGGACAACACTTTTTTAAAAGACAACTCAGACATTTACATAATAAAAAATGAAATGTTAAACTTTAAGCATCAAAGTTTTTCATTTGAATGTTACAGACTTTGTTGTGTAAGTAACACAACAAAGTTTGTAACAAACATCACACTTTTTGTTAAAAGTTTAAGCGAAAAACATTGTAAGACAAATCCTTTATATAAAAATCAAAAATCAAAGTTTGTCACTTAAAAACGTCACCAACTTTCCTCATTTCAAAAACGATTTAGTTATGGTTTAAAATGTTTAATATCAAACAAACAACACACCAAAAGAATAAAAAAGACTGTTTTTATTCCAAAAAACTTTCGACTGAATATTATTGGAGAAAATTCAAAGGAAAAAAGAAGTATAAATGGATAAATCTCATAAAGTCCATACAAAACAAATGACGGCAAAACGATCATTCGATCACTTGTTCAAGATATTGGTCATTGGAGAAAGTGGTGTTGGGAAGACTGCAATCATGCAGAGGTACTGTGAGAACACATTTGATCCAGTATATATAAGTACTGTTGGTGTGGACTTCAATCCAAAAATTGTGAATTGTAATGACAAGGTGATTAAGATGCAATTGTGGGATACTGGTTTGTTTCCTTAACACTTTATACTCATTATATTTAATAGACACGTTTATAATATAAATAGAGTATTTCAAAAATAACGAAAAGCTGGACAAGAAAGGTTCCGAAATATTACTACGAGTTATTATAGAGGTACACAAGGTGTTCTTATTGTTTTTGATATGACTGACAAATTCACGTTTGAGAAGGTAATAACATGGTTCCAAGATGTAATGGAACACAATATGGTGGAGTCTCCTGTTATCTATTTAGTGGGAAACAAACTAGATTTAGAAGGGAAGTATGTTATCAATAGAGAGATGGTAGAAGGGCTTTCAAGAAAGTTGGGAGGAGTCAAGTTCTTTTTCTGTAGTGCGAAGAATGGGGAAGGGGTCCAAGAGCTTTTCTCTCAAATGACAGTTGATATATTGCAAAGAGGAGAATTGGTGAAGAAACACAAAGAACAAGACACTATAGAAATAGATGAGAAACCAAAGAAGAAAGGTGGGTGTTGTTAAAACACAGACGAATTAAATTATTTGTTATTAATGTAAAGGTTAGTAATATCAATTTTATTAAATGTTATTATGTTTTAACACACACAAATTTTAAATGATTTTAATAATAAAACAATTATTTCTGTGTGTTGTTTGTTGACTCTTTTCTTCGTCTTCTTTCTTCACTTAAAAATTTGAAACTGTTGTTCTTAGCTGCATTAAAGAGGGAATCAACGTTCAGATAATTGAGAGTTGATATCTCAAAGTAATTACAAGCTTCTATTTGTTTTGCAAAATTCAATACGTCTTTTGTGGATATATAATCAATGTCTTTATATTGATTAATATACTTCATGTCCGTTTTAGTACCCACAAGGATGATAGGAGTATGTGGATCACTTTTTCTAATTTCTGGCACCCACACATTTTGAACTGAATGGAAGTGGTCAAGGTTGATAAGAGAAAAGCAAATTAAAAAACAAGTTGCCTTATCGTAATATACTGACCGTTTAATACTGTCATCACTTCTTGAACATGGTGCTTCACATAAATCGATTAATATTGGAGCATTGTTTTGAGATGTTTCTATAATTACATTTTTAATAACAGATGGAATATATTCCAAAGGAAATACATGTAATAAATAATATAGAATAAGGCTAGTCTTCCCCGCCCCAGTGTTTCCAACAAACACAAATTTCATTGCTATGTTTGCATTCATTTCGTTAATACAACTTTGTACAACAAGTTCATTTAAAATCATTTTAATGATTATTAACACTTTATAATAATTATTACAATGATTTTTAATATGATATGGAGAGTACTTTTATTACTTCACTACTAATAAAAAGGAACACACATAAATAGTTAGTCTCTGCTCAAATCACTCAGTTGCTTCTGCATTTTCAAATACCTCTTGTTGCTTGTTTCTTCGACTTTTTCAAGTGTATACCCACTATCCAGATCGGTGTGGTTCGACACATCGTCATCTATCTTCACAATCTTTTTCGAGACTTGATCAAAACTTGGTCTTGCACTTGGCTCCTGTTTCCAGCAATCTTCTATGAGTGTTTCATAGAAGTACGGCACCGTCTTGTCCATTGCTAAACGCTTTCCTCCAAGGACGTGTTGTTTGATTTCAAAAATAGATTTGAACCCTTTGAAAGGCTCTTCTTGGTAGAAGATTTCCCAAGCAGTGATACCGAAGGAGTACACATCTCCTGCAAATGTATATTCATCTTTATACGTCTATTTAGTTAGTTAATAGTTTACTTATAATAAAAAGTACTATACGAACAAACTTCTGGTGCGGCGTAAATTGGTGTTCCAAGTCCTTTATCGTCCTGATTCTTAATAGTTTTCTTGGTGAATCTTGACGTCCCAAAGTCGGTGATTTTGACTGTGCAGGCACTGTTTGGGTCGAATGAATTCATTAACAAATTGTCTGGTTTTAAGTCGAGATGCATGATTTTGTTTTCATGTAAAAATTGCATTCCACGTGCTGTATCAAACAAAAGCCTTACCTTCAGTTTGTATGAAAACTTCATGTAGTCTTCTTTGTCTTGTCTCAGATACTCCCCTAAAGACCCCAAAACAAAGAATTGAATCACCATAGACACTTGTGGCAAATATGTGACGGATCCCATGTACCCGGCTACAAAAGGGTTACGTAGTCGTCCCATAATCTCACACTCCGCCATCACTTCTTTCTTCAATTCTTTAATTTCCTCGTCGTTCAAATTGTCCCACTTGAATTGTTTGATAGCGACGGGGACACTCCTGTAACTCCCTATATACACTTTACCCATCGCACCTTCCGCTATTGGTTTTTCTGACATGTTGAGTTCGTCCATGTCGATATGTGTGGAACTTGCAGCATCTGTAGTTATTGTGACTTGGTGGTGCAGCCTCAGACACATTTGTTTCGACAACTTTTCCATTTGTTGTTGATTGTCGTTTGTCCAAGTATCGAAGTTCTTGCCTTTAAGTAACTCGGAGACTTGGACAAGTGGTTTTCGACTCTTTGAAAACCACACGGTGTATGGGATCTTCAACCCTCTTAATCGTGTTGTGCAGTGTAACGTGCAATATGATGTGATTTCTCTGTCGGTTCTTCTTGGTGGAATTATCAAGACTTGTGGGTCGAAGTAAAAGACATATTTTGGGCATATAGGAGTGTGGAATATGATCATCATATATTTGTTCTTACTATAATTTTTGACCTCCATCTTCTCAAAGCGAGTATCGAAAATAGCAGTCGACACTGTTGTGTTGCCGTAGTCCAATTCAATTGGATTGATATAGTATTTGGTCTGTTTTGAAGGCGCTCCTCTGACAGACCCATTGATATAAAAGTGATAACATGGCTGCGCATGTTTGAATGTATCAATATCTATCTTCTTGTGTGTTAACCCAAAGAAGATGATTAAAAAGAGAATAACACTAACAATAACAACTCCAGCAACACATCCAATGACTAACCCAGCTATTGCTCCTGAGGTTATTGTCTTTTTTATACAAGAAAGTTTGTCATTTGGATCGGGAATATACCCTTCCACACATCTACAGTAATTGTCACAATTAAGTCCACCATCACAGTCTTCTTCTCTTATAAAATTGCCTTTATCGTCATAATATATATCCGACTTGTTATTTCCACACAAAATATTCTTACAATAATGCTCTTCTGTGACGTGGTATCCATAATTAATAAAACACTGACAACTCTCATGACATCCCTCACTATTTCTATAACACTGTAAATCACCTGGGCCCCCAGATAAGCACTGTTGAGTCACACATAAGTTATCTTTTGTAAGTGTTGCGCCATTACTACATTGACAATATTGGTCACAATTGGCACTTCCAAACAAGCACTTTCCGGCACTATCAACGTTCCATACGCCTTTGTAATAACATTTGAGGTGACAGTCATCTCTATTTATTAATTAATTATCGATTGTTTGTTATTTATAGTACATATAAACAACAAATTTATTGATAAGGAACAAACCCCCCATATCCATCTTTACATACACAACCTCCAGCAATAGTGCTACACGCTCCAAATCCATTTTCAAAATTGCAGTTTTTAGGACAAATAGCTTTGAAGCTAACAGTTATAGAAGCTTTTTGATCATGAGAAACTATAGAAAAGTGACGTAGAGTGTCATTGTTTCCTTTTATCATAGCTAAACTCCCAACATTAGTCTCATCAGATAAAACACCATGATTGTAGCCATCCCACGCTTGCACACAAGATGGTTTGGTCACCCCTTTATCGTCTGTTACTGTACCTATTTCTTGAAGATAGTTGACTCGGTTTTGGACTGTAGAGTCTATTAGAATATAATAGTCTCCTTTAAATTGAACCGTGAAAAGGATATCCTTTGCGTAATTAGTACTAAAGCAAACAGGGATAGTGATTATTCCTTTCTGCTCAAAAGGGACCTCCCAAAAGATCTCAGAGGTCAAGTCTTTTGCCAACGCATCTGCCTTCTCTTGGTCTAACACAAACTCCACAGGAGTTGTCTGTTTGTCGATTGAAGTAAAAACAGTTGAAAGTGAAATTCCTTCGTTACCTTTGACACTAACAAATATATAGAACGCCGGATTTAAGTCTCCAGCCGCTTTTGCAACAGGAATCTGGAAGTCGTAGTTCACAGTACTTTCATCCAAGTATGTATGAGCGAAGCACACTTGGTTCTGCGAGCCCTGTTTTTCATTGGTGATATCTACATATACATTTGATGTCTTCGTTGTCTCCTTTTTGAAGTTAATCATGACGTAATCCTTTGTGACTTTACTCAAATCGATTTTGAACCACTGTCCCAGTCTAAACTTTTGTCTAAAGTAACAAAAACTGTAATCCACCTTTGAGGTAAAGTCTATTGTGAATGGATACATAACACCCTCTTCCATTGGAATGATATATTCATCACTTGGAATGAACTCTCCTGGCGGTTTCACTATTTGGTTTGTAGTCGAAAGACATGTGTCGTTCTGTGGTAAGTAAGCTACAACAGTCTGACTGTCGACAAAAGCACAATGGAGACACGTGTTGTCATTATCAAATTCTGGTTCACATTCCCTGCATGTGTAATCACTAGTACAAGGGGTCTTACACCCAGATGGGCATATATACGATTCTGTTTCAAGTATCAAGAAAACAAAATAGTACATCCATACAAGTATAGACATGTGTTTACGTTAAACAGTTGCTTTCGTCTTTAAATTGAATAATTTCTACTGTTTTTTCTTGTCAACTTGGAATACAAAGTATAACGGAATGACAGGTTTCTACAATAAAGTTACAAAATGTAGTCAAGTTTTGTATTTATTATCTTCAATGTTTTTTATTTCAATGTTTTGCTTGTATTTATGTATTAAATGGACGGGCAATTTATATGGAAATAATGGTAATAAGCAATTTTGGATTGGTGGTAAATCACGTTTAATTCAGTTATATTTATTTTGAAAACATTGTTCACGAATTTTTTATAGCTAATCTCTACTTTTGCATTCAAAATGTAATTAATTATCAACTAAACATTTTGTTCATTAATAGACAAAATTTACTGACCAAATCAGGATTAATTATAAAATCAAAATAATATGGTGTCAAATGGGTTGATTTGCATTGCAGAATCCAAAAAATAATAATTGTGAATTCCAATATAATTGAAGAAAATTTCTTGTGTTTTTCGGAAGGAAATTATGTTTTCATTTTTTTGTTTACGTTAAAAAGTCTTTTCTTTAAGATTTGTAAATAAAAGACGGAAAGAACCATATTGTGATATTAAAATCGCTCTAAAATTGATAGTTTAACATTTTAAATAAATTCGAAATGTCAGACAATTGTATTTTTAAAATAGTAATTAGTCAATGAAAATCCATGAAATAATCTATTATTCAAACAACGTGTTACTTTATCTCATTTATTTATTGATCATTCACAGTTGAAAACTCAAATGAATAATGTAATTTTATGGAAAAATGTTTTTTTCATCATTAAAATACTTCATACTAAAAAAAGAAAGTAACTCTTTTTATATCATATTTTTATTAACATACCTTTTGAAACCTTTGTCGATTTCCTGATTTGTAGCACGTAAATAAAATTGAAGCTTTTAATTATAAAGTGTCAATTACACAATGAACCATTGTAATAGTATCATCTTTTTTTTAATTTCTAATTAAAGTTTTTAACGCCATGGAGTTAAAAGTTACATTTTTCTATTTTCGAACAATTAAAAATTGTTGTTAAATTAAATGAAAAAATACAAATTTCCAACGGTCGTTATAATTCAAAAAGATTTTATGTTGAAATAAACTCGATTTGATATTCAAAAAAATGACCGAATTGGAACTTTTAATAATTTTCTATTTTAATTTCGAATTACCATTATAAAAAACAATGAAGAAGAAATCTTGTAAAAAAGACACTTTCGATGTTATATACACATTAGAATAAATTTAATTATTAATAGTATTATATAATTCAGACTGTTCTTTAGTTTTACAGATGCTGATTTAGTCCATTTGGATAAGAGAAAAACAATTCAACATCAAATTGTAATGTGCCTCAAAAATGATGTAATTTGATTCTTTATATTTCTTTTTATTTCAATTTTGTTTCAAAAATCACCAAAAGTTGTTGACAATAATAAAATCCATCAATTTTTTGTTAATAATCTTAACGCAATTATAGTCAATTCATCCCCAAATTGTTAAAATTGGTTAATTTGCTATCAACTAGTTCAATTGGACAATTTACTATTTTTTCCTTTGAACAATTCTTAACAACTTTGATATAAAATATAGTAATATTATTAATATATAAATTATTTAATAATTAAATAATACTTTAACAATAATAAATGTTTAATTAAAATTAATTTAAATGTTTGTTTTTTTAATAAAAACGTTTTAATAATATTAATAATAAAATATATATTAATATAATCAAATAATTAATAATAATATATAGTTATAAAAATTAAATTTTAATTAACATTTGTAAATAGTTTCTGTTAATATAATTAAATTATATATATAGTACATTTTTTGTTGAACAAATAATAATTATTAATAATAATTTGTTAATAAAACAAATTGTATTTAATAATATAATATATTTTATTAACAATACTAAATCAAGTTGATTAATTATAAATACTATTTTTTAAATAAGTATTAATATTATTCTACCTTATTGCTAATAAAGTATTAAAAAATATAGTTTTTATCAACCAAGATGTTACGTTATATTAAATAGAAATATATACTATAAAAAATAGATTCAACATTCAACAAGACCCCCATCATTGCCTCAAAGTGAGGCAAGTTGCAGAACAGTAATTCTTTTTGGAGTAAATGTTGCACCGTCGCAAAACACGTTTTCTGGTGTATTTTCCGTTCTATTATAATTGCACCCACTCCCCCCTTGATCCTTTTTAAATACATGGATGCCACCATTACATATATAAAAGAGTGCTTCGTAGTCATCTGTAAAACAGTGGAAAGCGTACTGTGCATATTTATGGAGTAGTTGATACTTTTCCATTCCTTCGGTGCGGCCGTTGGACTTTAAAGTGAAGAGAAAAGCTCTTGGGTCAGTGTTCCACTCGTCGACGCCACTAATTGCATTAAACACAACACCACCAAATTTGTTTCCATTTTTGTCTTCAACAATTACGGCAACTTTACTCTTGTTAGCTATTTTCTTACTGAAGACAGAACTGTTGACACTCCAGTCGTCTAAGTTACTATCAAAGATCACCGATTCGATCTTAAGGAAACTCCACTTCTGAATTTGTTCGACTTCATCCTCTTCTAGAGACCCATTGAAGGGCAACGGCTTTAACATCGTTTGTAAGTGCTGCTCTTTCTCTTTAAATGATTTTTCTATGTCATCTATTTGTGTCAATAACGGCTTTTTACGCTCTTCTGCACTTTGTCGCTCTAACAGTAATAATCGTTTTACTATACTGTTATACTCCCCACTACCCCCTTGCCACCGCTTCTCTTCATTTATTATTTCAACTAAAGCACACTCCATCTCCTTGCGAAGCTCTACTAACACTTTACGAACATCTGCCTTCTTCTGCTCTTTCTCACCAAACTCACCTAATGCGATTTCGGCTGCTTTTATACGCTCATCTACATTCATTGTCTCATCTTCAACCACGGACATCTCTTGAATGAAGTGTGAAAACGCCTTCATCTCCTTTTTTACTTGTTCACACTTCTCGGTGACCTTTTCTAAAACAGGCTCCATTGATATAATTTCACAGTTTGAGTACACTTTTATAACAAGAAGTTAAACCTTTTCAAACGTCTTTTTGTTCTTGGAGTTTTTAATCAATAAATTGAAATCTTATTGAACTATTTTGGTGTTTAATATTTGGGTTTTTAATTTCAAGAATGCCCTCCCAACAGTGCCTGTTGGTGGTGGTTTGGTATACTTCTTTATTAAAGTCTATAACTCTTCAAAACAATAAGACTTTTGTGGGAATGCTGTTTCAAGTTTCCCTTTAAATCAAAACCCCCATTCGAAAAGACCAATCAACATCTTTTACAGAACTCGTAATGTTCCATTGTAACTGGTTTTAATGAACAAAATTAAACATTTTTTTTTCGTACATAAATAGCGTTTTTGATAATTTAACTTGCAATTCACATATTTACTCTATTCAAGTTACATCAATTGTTAATAATAATACGTTATAATCAAGATATTTACTGTCATTACCACAACTTTACTTTTCAAAAATAAACTACTTTTGAATAAAGCATTTGAAAAACATGGAAAGCACTTGGATTATATTCAAGTTTTATACCTACCTTTGTATGATTTATATTCCAAATTATAAAATGGGAAATGTTGTATTTGAAATAAAATTAAATTCCACAATATATTTAAAAGAAAAGAATAACAAAAAAGTTTGAATTTCTTTAAAAAAAGAAGATAAGAAAGTTGTACACACTTATAACAATTCATGCAAATAATTAAGACAATTACACTCGTTTAAAAAGGAAAATAAATGATTACTCAACGATATAATATAAAGTCAGTTTTTTATATTTGATTCAGTTAACAAGTTTGTGTTTTTTTCGCTACATTAACGACAAAATAAGAAAAACTATTACAATAGCACGTCTGTAGGATACACGTTAGTTGGCTGAACGTCCTATTTATATATTATTTATATGAAATAATAATAAAAGTATTCTTTTTAATAACAAAACAGACTTTAAGTAGATGAACTCTTCTATCTAAATTTGACGATGTCTTCCTCTATATATAGAACAATACGATGTTATATAAAAATAACAAAACCACTCCACTTGAAAAAGAGGTATAAAAAAATCACACAATCAGTTAGTCACTTCACTCTTAATTGATTCAGACGAGGGACTTTTAGAAGTCTTTCGTACCTTCTTCGAACGACTTCTTGAAACCTTCTTGACTTGTTTCATTGACTCTTTCACCTCTTCGCCTTTGTCTTCGAAGATTTCAAACTCGTTGCTGTCCTCCTCTTCTTTTTTCGTTAGTTTTTTCTTCTCGATTGTCTCCTCACTCTTCTCAGTCAACGTCTTTGGTTTCTTCTCGTTGACAACGTACTTCGCGTATCTTTGAAATGGTGACTCCACCGATTTCACCTTTCTTTTGAGTGACGTGGAACGCATTTCCAACATCTTTTGCGCTAAAGTAAGTTCGTTGATATTATTGATTTCTGGTTCGTATGCGTATTCTCCTTTCCGCAAAATAGACTTCTTGCCAAGCTTTGGCGCTTTCCAGTTATTAACTTCTTCTTGCTTTTTGGGGCGTTCGTCTTGTTTCTGCTCGAGTTTATACTTCAGGAGTGATGTAATGGAATCCTTGTCCATGTTCAACTACTTTCAAATTATAGAAACCCTACTTTTTTTTAATCAAGTTGCTATTGTCTTATCTAACTTGTTTAATAACTTTTATACTATACTTATTACTATGTATTATTAGACTGTTGAGTTATGTTCTATCAAAACTCAAAAAAATATCTAATATATTATAATTAAAATGTATTATATATATATAATTATACACTTAAATTAAAAAATATATTTTGATAATTATATATATTATAATTCTATTATAATAAAAATTACTATTAAATTGATCGATATTTTCTTTTTTTCGTCTTTTGAAATATAATTTTAAATGATTTAAATAATAAAATAATATTATTATACATAATTATTAAATATAATATTATTATAATAAATATGGTCGTTATTGAATAATAAAATTAATTATATTATAATAAATTAAAATGCAATAATTTTTTTAAAGTCCAGTGCTATTTATACTTATTTAATATTAAAAAAAAAGCTTCTATTGTAGTTTGACAAAAAAAAACACAAAACAAATGAAATGTCGAGATCTTTTAAAACAGTTTTTTAACTAATACTAAATAGTTTTTATCTAATAAAATAACCAGAAAAAACAGCGAGCTACAAAAAAGAAAATTCTTGCGACACAAATTGCGACAAATTGCCAAGAAATGATTGAACGAGTTGACAGTCCTAATACATATAACTAAAAGGAACAAGAAAAGAACCACAGAGTAGTTTTTCTGTCAAATTTTTTAATGAAATAATGAACAATTGTTCCTCATCTTTATATGAAAAAATAAGAATAAAAAATAAACCCTTGAATTAACTACAAATGTAAATGCTTTACAGAACACAAAAAGCAAAGGGGACATTCACCCCTCTGGCAATCACAGAGGAAAATGTTCTACACGCGCCAAACAAAAAGTACATCACCAAATTTCTCACCACAAAAATCTTCGACGTGTTTTTCCACTGCTCGCCTACTATGACCGACCCCATTACTAAATTGACGCCTCTCTATCTGTCCGTCCCAAACATCCCACGTCACAACAGCAACTATGACAATGACAACTACGATTTAATAGTAAAAATGAATGATGTCATAGGGAGTGCCACAAGCTTTGAAGGTCCATATTACTCAGCAAATCCCGACACGGTGTCGCGGTACAAAATAACAGACCGCTTAGGTCAGGGGATGTTTGGCCAAGTTTTCAAAGCTCGGGACTTAGTCAAAAATCGGGATGTAGCCATTAAAGTGTTACGGTCGAAGTTTTCCTACTTCCGGCAAGGGATGTTAGAGGTTGCCATGTTATCATTATTGAACGACGCGTACGACAAAGATGGGAATTACAACACCGTTCGACTAGTCGACCATTTCTTGTACCATTCCCATCTTTGCATAGTCACTGAATTACTCGGGAAGAACTTATATCAAGCCATTCAAGAGAGAAATTATAAAGGGTTTCCCATCTCAGTGATCCGCAGTCACGTCAAGTGTTTACTTCAGTGTTTAGTTGCCTTAGAAGAAGCAAATATCGTTCATTGCGATGTGAAACCGGAGAACATCTTGATCGACCCAGCAACTAAGCGAGCGCGTGTGATCGACTTTGGCAGTGCTTGTTTCTCGACTTACACGTTATATACGTATATCCAGTCAAGACATTACAGAGCGCCGGAAGTCATATTAGGGTTACCATATAGTTGTGCGATAGATGTGTGGAGTGCGGGGTGTATATGTGCGGAACTTATTCTTGGGATCCCGTTGTTTCCCGGCAACTCCGAATACAACGAGTTATATAAAATCACTGACATGTTAGGGCAACCGCCCGACTACATTTTAGACCAAGGCGCAGCTACACAAAACTTTTATAATAAATTGCCCACGTTATCGGGGAAGAACAGATACTTGTTAAAACAGCCGTTTGAGTTTGAAATGGAGAACGGCGTCGAGTTAGAGCCGGACAAGAAGTATTTCCGATATCGCACCCTCGACGAATTAATTATGAGGATTCCAATGAAGTTATCGGACAACCCTCTTGACGACAAAGGATCAATAGCAGAGACACGGCAGTCGATGTTACACTTCATTCAAGGGTTACTTCAGTATGATCCGGACCTCCGTTGGACTGCTCGACAAGCACTTGACCATCCATTTATTACTCAACAGCCTTTCACTCGAAATTGGACACCAAAGCCTCGTAAAGTGAAGTCTGTGAAACCATCTGTGATGTCTGGTATAGAGTTCCAACACCGTTGTTTCCCCGGTTTAAAGATAGATCATCGACTGAATACACAAGAGTACTATGACATCTTCATTTCAGCGTTACAGAAAGGAGAAGTCGTCAACATCTCTTCCTCTTCACCTTTCCAGTTGGGTCCGATGACTCCTTATTCTTTCAGAGAAGTCTACGCTGTCAAGTCAAAAACTCAGACTTCCCCCATCCCAACCTCAGGAAGTTTCTCAAGGAGGAGTGGCTTGGTCAGAACTCCCGGCCCAAAAACTCCTTCTTTCACTTCCCCTTTCGCTCCACCTATGGGGTCTTTCCTTTTACCTTCCCCAAAAGCATTTCCAATGCGGATGGCTTCAAAAGGAGACTACGACGACGACATGACTGCTATGAGTTTCTGCCCAGGAAAATTGTCGACCGCTCTTGAGATGAAACAGAAGCCAAAAATGGATTATAGTGGAATGTCCGTTAATATGGGCTTCTTACCATCTACCGGCTATGGAAAACAGAAGGATGTCGTCAAAGATGTTCCCAGTGAGGCAAACATCCCCATCATACCCGTCCCCATTCGAAAAACCCAAGACAATGAGCCTGACACACCAACTGCAAATACCGAATACGCTCCTGTGTTCATATTCGATGATATGTGATTCTTTTTTTTGATGTTATATTATACTATATGTAATCTATATTAATTATAGTATTACAAAAATAGTTTATATATATAATAATATAGTATAATATAGTAATTATTATTATTCATCACAAAACAGTATGAATTAGAGGTCAATCGCTTCTGATCCGTCATACGGTGCGACAACGGGAGTTTGGAGATGTTGTTGGTCGCTTGCCATTTCCTTTTCTCTCTTGTGATTTTCCTTTTCGATTGGGTCGTTATAGATTTCGTCGTCGTCAAAATGGATTTCAGAAATAGCGTTGTCTGGCAGTTGTTTATACGCAGTTGGGTCGTCCAAGCTAGTGAATTTGATTCTGTCTTCGCTCCACACTACACTTCAATTTCCGTTCGACTATTTCTAGCATTATAATAATAATATTATTATTATTAATAAAATAGAGTTCAACACCAACAAACATTGAGACTCTTCAGCCATTCTTGGGTAATTGACAATGAAGAGTAACGTGCACATGAAATTTACAAAGGAAACTGTCGTCAAATTGATTGATATCGTTTGTTGATATCCAAAGAACAAAGACAATCCCAGTAGTGAGATGAACAAGAACATTGACACCAGCATCAACGCTCCAAAGATCCGGAGTTTTCTCTTCGTCTTCCCTATCTTTTTCCCTTCAGAGCAACTCCTGCACACAACATACAACAGCCAGAAGACATACAATACTACAAACAATATTGACACTGATGCCATGACTATACTTGGAATGTCGTGGAGTGGATTGAACTCTGGATCTACCACTCCAACGATCTTATTATAAACAAACGTGACCTCCACACTCACAAAGAATAACAAGAAGAACAAAATCCGTGGTATCCAGTACACCAACTTCTTCGTTCCCTTTCCCTTCAATTCAGTCAATTTTAAGTCCTCTCTCGTCTTTGTAACCAACAAACGTTCTTATAAAACTCGAAGATAATCAACACGTAGAGTAAGAAGAAGATGTAGAAGAAGACTATAACGCTGATATTGAAAAACTCGGGCGCAGACGTGTTCAGTGAGTACTCATACGAGTAAAACGGATTGTTCTGGATGACTAAAACAATCAACAAAGCAAAGGTCCACCGGACTTCAAAGATCCAGTCCGCCAATTTGTACTTCCGGAAGGTGATCAGAAAGGCAAGAACAACAATCACCGAGTAAAAGATGAACGCAAACCGCCAACAGAGATCGAAGAAGGTATACGACCCCGACACCGCATCTAAGTGAAAATATAACTCGCCAGCTCCCTCTAAGTAACTCGACCCTTTCACGTTCACTGTAAACGCGTAGGTGTCTTGTTTTGTGAAGGAGTCTGTATAGATCAAAAAGGGTTGACAGTATGCGTCTCCGATGTCACAAGTGATATACGGCCGTTTGTTAAACACGTTGAAGAGTTGCGATTGACCGTCGTCGAGAGTCGACTCGTTGATTGTGACTGATATTTCTGCACCAACTAAAAGTGAGTTCTTTACGTCTTTATCGACATCTTTAAATATATTCTGCAAGAAGAAGAGATGATTGTGGTATTATAGAAATGATGTGAAGAACAGTCACAAACTCGTGTAGTTGTCAACATCCTTTTTAAACTGCCCGTAGAGCTTAAATCGTCTGTTTAAAATCGAGAATTTCCCGACTTGAATTTCAGCCGTTGCGTTCTTGCTTGTGCCTTCGACGTCATATCCAGTGCACTTTGTAGAGTCAAATACAGTTGTATTAGGTGGACATTGCCAGACACCTTTGTCTTGTTGGACGTACATTGGTGGGGCGACTGTCGCAACTCCCAAAGAAATCCCCACTAAGACCAAAAACACCAAGTAAATAACACACAGTGCTATTGGAGAAATACTTTCTATGAGCGGTTTCATCACCATTTTGTGTTGTTGTGGTTGTTCGGTTGTTGGAGTGTTTTGATCCAACATCTCAATTGGAGTGTTCTCTTCTTCCATTTATTGTTTTTTCTAGTTTCCAGTTATTCTTTATACTAAGAAAATTATGGTAATTCTTTGATGGGTTGTTCTTATAGTTTTAATTATTGTATTAAAAAATGTTTAGTTCCCAAAATACATTTTGTCATTTCTATTTCGGATGTGGTTTCATTGTTAATTCAAAGTATAATTATATTATAGTTTTTTGTTTCAACCAAATTGTTTAAAATATGAACATGTAATTGTATAATTAATAAAAATTGTATTTGATATGATATTAATTGTATATTTCTATAATATATAGTTTATAAATTCATAATATTTGTTAAAACAAAACAAAAAAATTAGAGGTACTTAAATTGATTCTTGTCAATAATAACTGAGATTATATCAAATCAAGTTCCGTTATATTTTTATTGTAAATATTATAATTTGCGGTAGAAAAATGAAATATTATAAAAACCATAAACAATTTGGTAGTATACTATTTTGTTTTTATTATTAAAAATGCTATTGTTTTTATTATTTAATAGCAATAATTTTCAATTGAATTAATAATTAATTATTAATAGATTTTTTTAAAATAGACTTTTTGGATATTTTTAAACAAATAGTAAAATGAAACTATTACATGTCAAAAATCTCATTTCCTTATTTTACACTTCTAATTTACATAATTAGTTAAAATAACTATAACATTAATTATACCTTTAAAAACTCAAACTCTGAGATGAACTTCTATTGACACAAAAAAAGATGAGTACAACACAAGTAGAAAGTAGTAATAGCACACAAGGGACACCACAACACGAGACTTGGAATATGTTAGTAGGTGATCCTGAAGTTTTTAATAACATTCTATCTGACATAGGTGTTGGTAATGTCGAAGTCAATCAAGTCTATTGCTTAGAGGACGATTTAGTTCAAAACAGTGTGTTTGGGTTCTTGGTATGTCTTCCAAACAAAGTGACTAAGACAACTTATTTAGCACCAGAAGTCGCATTAGATCCGCAACCCATTCACATTAAACAAACTATTGGGAATGCATGTGGTGGTGTAGCTCTGTTGCATTGTTTAGTGAACAATCCTTTAGTTCAATACTTTGATGACTCCACATATCGAAAGATCAATGACATCTGTGAGAAGAAAAAGTCCTATGAAGAGCGAGCAGAGTGTGTTAAGTTTCTCAAAGAGTCTTTTGAGAAGTATGCTGAGTCTTCTTCTTCGTCCGATGATTCTCCTCGTGAAAAGAAAGCAGACGCTCCCAAAAAGGAAAAAGTTGTGAATCATTTCGAAGGGATCATTAATTTTAATAACAAAGTGTGGATCTTGGATGGCAGAAAACATTTGCCTGTTCCAGTTTGTGAGATTCCTGAGGGTCAAAATTTTAAGACGGTTGCTCTCAAGTTTTTACAAAAAAGAATCGAAGGATTAGATATGATATCCATACTCTCGTTGTCTCTCCTTTAACTTCTGGTATTTATATCTTTATGATATCAATTAGTAAATTTACTAGTAAAATTAGGAAATTTGTTAACTATTTAAATATAGTTTTTTATAATAAAAGTTTGATTATTAATTTTTCAAAAATATAATGACAATTATTATTAACTATATTAATTCAATAAATATATATTAATATTAATATTAATATAATTTTTAATTATTATAACTAACAAAGAAAAAAACTATAATAGTATAGTATTATACAATTAAAAAATAAGAAAACAATCTTTTCTTGACAATCTTTTGTTATAATTATAAAATATTATAAAAAATTATAAATACCAAAATACAAACCAATCAAACAAAACTAGAATCAATAATAATTTATAATTATTAATTAACTATAATGTTTCGAAAAAGATTCTATAACAAGAGAAAAATCGAAAATCCAATTGAAAAACAAAAGCAACGGAACTTGAAAATACGAGATGTTGTTTGTGGCACTTCTTTTGTCTGCTGCTCTAGCTGGGAACGGCAACAATGTAAAAGGAAAGTTGCTTCTAGTCCCGTACCCACAAATTGTGGAAGCAAACTTTTTGAATCCGACCTCGATTTCTGCGACGTCGAAGATTACATATACTTTATCAGACAACTGCAAAGGTAACACTGAGTGTGTGGAATTTGTGAAGAACAATTTCAATCACTCGATTACCTTCCCCTTACAAAGACAAATGAATTTAGACGACTTTAGACTGTCCCTCTTTGCCCCAATTGACTTAATCAATTTGACACCCGACATCCAAAACAGTGTCCAGACGATTTCCATTGAACTCACAGCTGAAGACTTCTTCCCTGAACTTACGATTGGAGTTGATGAGAGTTACACTTTAGATATAACGACAGAGAGCATTTCTATTAAGGCGCCGACTGTCTTTGGTCTCAGAAACTCATTTGAGACATTAGTCCAGTTGTTCCGACCGTACAATGGGAAGTACGTCATCACGCAGGTACCAATTTCTATTAAAGACTTTCCACGATTCAAATGGAGAGGGTTGATGGTGGACTGTGCACGGAATCCATTCACTCTTTCGACTTACTATAAGATCATCAATGCAATGGCGATGTTCAAGTCAAATATGTTACACTTGCACTTGACGGACGGGCAGACGTTCTTATTTGAGTCGACGGAATACCCACTTTTGTCTCAAAAGGGGAGTTACACACAAAAGAAAGTGTTGACTCAGAAGTTCCTCAAAGAGTTGATAGCATATGCCAAGACTCGAGGCATCATAGTGTACCCAGAGATTGATCTCCCGGTTTGTTGTTCTACTATAATATGTTCACGATGTGATGGGCGTTGTTTTCTATATAACACTTTTAAATGATCATTAACGAATTAGGCGCACGCGGCGTCTTGGGGGATCGGGTATCCCGACATAGTTGCTGATTGTTGGGACTACATCAAGACGTGGACGTATAATGAGAACCTTCCCGCGCTCAATCCTGTGACCGACGAGACTTTTAAAGTGCTTGACGCGTTATTTGGGAAAGAGTTACCGAGTGTCTTTACTTCCGAGTACATTCACATCGGTGGTGATGAGATGAATGAAGTCGCATGGTCGAGGTCCAAAGAAGTGAGTGCGATCAATGCTTGGATGACTGAGAAAGGAATTAAGACGTATTTAGACTTAGAAGGGTACTTTAATAAGTATGTCCAGACTCAAGTGATCAATGCCAACAAGAAGGGAGTAGCATGGGAAGAGGTCTATGCCAAAGGAAATGCGGATCTTTCCACAGTCATTCAAGTGTGGTCCAATATCACTTACTTGAAAATGGCAGTAGACGACGGTTATAAAGCTATTTGGTCCGAAGGGTTATACCTTGACGTCCAAGCTCCTGCTTGTCCTGATAGTGAACGTGTTGAGAAAGGATGTAAAGTGAGTCATATGTATGTCTGGACTAATAGAGACTTTTATAACAGTGATCCTACTATCGACTTCTCACCTGAGGAACTGGAGAATGTCTTAGGCGCAGAAGCAGCGTCGTGGCATGAAAGTGTCGACGACCAAAACGTGATGGAGAGAATTTTCCAGAGATATGGCGCTATATCGGAAAGACTGTGGAGTCCAAGTTATTATACTGACGCGGATTCACTCGAAGTCAGAGCCGATTATTTAAGATGCGTCGGATTAAGAAGAAATATCTTGAAGGGGTCCGGTCCACTCTACCATTCGTATTGCCAACTTCCTGAGAACCTTTAATCGGTGTGATCTATTACTATTAAGAGATAGTTTTTAATTATTAAGAGAATTAAAGGGAAGGATTTTGGAGCAATAACACAACTCAAAACATTTTTAATAATTCACACAAAAGTGGTACTTTTGTAAAATAAATTTAATTCAATTTAAAAAACTAATTATAATAATATAATTACTATAGTATTATAGTACTTAATTGAACTGTCATATTTTAAATATTCATTATAATTATGGTTTTGTTATCATTAAAAACACTTAGAATAGATATATTATAATTATTATAAGTATATTAGTATAATAATAATTATTATTTAAACAACTATTATATAATTATATAATTATAGTCGGGTGATAAAGGGGGTTAATTTGGGACAGAAGTGGTTAATTTGAATAAAAAACTATAAAATATAATTTCTTTAACCATAAAAGTATTAGAAGGGTTTTTTCAATTAACTACTTCGAAAATAATAAAAGAAAACCATAACTTTCTATTTTTGAAATTATTCAATCTTTGAAAACAATGGAAGAAGAAGAGAAAGGAACCCTCGATGAAACAATTACAGGCAATCAACACAAAAAAGCAATTCAAATGCAAGAAACTGGTTTAAAAACTGTATTTCAATATATATTCATGATGTATATGGTTAAAATGCCAGAGTTTAATGAATTAACTACAATGAGAAGACAAATATATTTTTGTTTTCGAAAAATGTTCATATTTAACCAGTTTATTTGTACAAATGGAAATCAACTTTTCAATTTTTTGAACTCAGTTGACTGTATTGAAAAAGAAGCAGTTGTTGTTACCTTCAACAACAATGAAAGAGGAATCAAACAGGCTGATTTGGCAACGATATTCTGCATATCTTCACCAAGAATTACAATTATTATACAAAAAGAGGACTGTATATTCCACGATGTTGAATTCACACACTCAACACGCATGAACAGGATAGAGATAAAGTAGTTTTGGATATGATAAATCATAGATTGTCTCGAAATATTGCAGTGACAACAGAAACTCTC